AGGAGACGCCCTGTGCGTTCACGTCTAGCTTCCCAGGCATCAATCAGGGCCACAGCTAGAGGAGGCGGCCTCGACACCCTGTGAGGTGCCACCGCCCACCAGCAGCCAGTGGGTGCTGTTTCCCCAGCCAGAATCTGCAGGTCGGGGCTCGGGGGGTGCAGAGGGGCAGCACTGTGGGCGTGGCCTAGGAGAAGTCCCAGAAAAAGCCGAGCCTCGGGGCCCTTCAGGACTTACACGCCGGTTTGGAGATCTTAGTAGCCAACAAGGAAAGCTTCAGCCCCAGCACAAAACAGCTGTGGGTGGCCCCTGGGCTCCTCGTAAGAGGGCCTGGGTGATGGCTGGGGTGCTAACGAGGGGAAATGGGTGGGTTTAGGTGGCCCCAGGCCTCTCCTTGCCCCAGCACCTCCGGGAGAAGCAGGCAAAGGCCGCAGCAGCAATAGACTCTGAGGAGGTGGTCACTGCCTGGTGACTCCTCTGGGGGACCCTCCTAGCAGGTCAGTTGTCTCAGTGCCTTGTCTCTGGGCGAGGGGTGGGGTGGGAAGGTGTCGGGCTTGCCCCAGGCCCCCGGCCCAGCCCCGTCTCCCTGCTCCGGGGGGCAGGAGGTGCAGGCCAGGCAGGGATGCCCAGGGAGCTCCTCCTCCTAGCCAAGGGCGCCTCCACCTCCTGCTCCTGCTCCAGGCTCTAAGTGGGGGAGTGACAGAGCGCTGGGTGCTGTGGAGTCAAAGAAGGCCCAGGTGAGGCCTCCCAGAGTCTGGGCCACTCAGGTGATGCCTGTCCCCGGAGGCCAGAGTGAGGTAAGAGGGAGGGATGTGAAGGGGAGCTTCCCCTGCGCTGGGTGAAGCCGGCAGGCTCTGGCCCTCCTTTCCCTCCACTCCCCCCACAGTGTACAGGGTGTCCTGGTGTCCTCCTCCACTCGGCTTCTCAGGCTGCAGCACCAGAGGGGAGCAACCCCTGGAGACCCGGGGCTGCTGGGGCCCAGAAGCCTCAAGACATTGGGGTGTCTCCCTTTGGGGGGGTGAATCCTGCGGCAAGTGCTTTATGTGGGGTGAGCGTGTTCTTGGTGATGCTGGGATCACCCTGAACTCTTGCTGGGAAGTGTATCTGTGTGAGCAGGAGGACAAGGGGGGACGCATGGGCTTCGTCCTTTTGGGCTGTGCATCGTGGGATGGTTTACATTTGGGGGGGCTCTCGCGTGGCCTTGGTGGGGGCAGGGGCCCCTCCCCCAGTGGAAGCTCTGCCCTGAGCTGGGCCAACCTGGTGCTCCCCAGGACTAGGAGGTGGACTGAATTCTGCGGACATGCAGGTGGCTCAACACAGAGGTGGGTGAGTGTCCAGTGACGGTGGCTGGTGCAGCAGGATCTCCGAATCACCCCGCCCACCCCACGTCCTGACTGAATCCTGTGGAGCAGGCTGTGTCCAGCCCCGAGTCACTCTGTTCCACAGAGCAGCACTTTGCCCTGAGTGTCTCCATGTCAGTCCAGCCCTAAGGCAGAGTGACCTGGTGACTCTTCTGGGCAAGCCGGAGACCACCGAGGATGGACGCACAGGAGTTAAGGAAAAGAGTAAGCCGGCGGCAGCCACCTCGAGGCATGAACGGATGACGAAGTTGTGCTAAGAGAAAGGACCATGCGTGCACCTTGGGGTTGGGGCAGAGGCATGTGGACGCAGGGGCCTGTCAAACCTCTACCCGGGCACCAGCCTGTGAGTGTATCTGACCCCCCAGAGCACCCTCAGCTGGAGCGTGTGGAAGGAGACCACCCAAGATGGCTCAGCAGGTGAGAGGTGGGCAGCGCCCGGCGCAGTCTGTCCCTCGGGCTTCTTGGCTGGACTTTGTGCTGGTCCCGCAGGACCCTTATCTGCCACCCGCATCCCATCACCTCTGCCTATGCTCCGCTCTGTGTCTGACCCTGTGGCCACTGCTGGCCCTTCTGGGCCGTTCTGTGACCCACAGGTCACCGTGTAAAGTGCCGCCTGAGACTTGAGTGAGAGATGTTGCACTGAAGATTGGCATGGAGGGTGGGGCTGGGGCTCAGCGGTCGAGCAGTGGCCTAGCGTGTGTGAGGCTCTGGGTTTGATTCTCACCACTGCATGTAAGTAAATAAATAAAAATCAAGGTCCATTGACAACAAAAAAAATATTAAAAAGCAAAAACGAGTGGCATGGAATAGAAGCACCTGTGGGTGCCACAGCACGGTCCCACCACCGAGTGAACCAGGGTGTCTGTGACGGACAGTGCGGCTTGTGAATCCGCTGTCGCTCAGTGCACTCTGAATCATGGAAAGACAGACGCGCCCAGTCCGCGTTAATAGCACGGCTCGCTCCTGGCAAATCCCTCAGAACCCGTGCCTGTGACATCTCTGTCAACGCGATCAGGTTTCTCCTTCAGGAGTCCTGACACGCTGCACATGGTGGAGCTGGAGGGTGCTATTCTGGGTGCGATAAGCTGTCCACGAAAGGACAAGCGCTATGAGATTCCATTTCTGTGAGGTCCCTGAGTCACAGATCCACAGGGACAGAAATCGGGCGGGGTGGGGGGAGGTTGCAGTGGCTGGGGGAGCTGGGAGCCAGCATCTGGGGGACAGAGCGTCAGTTTTGGGGGAAGGGAAAGCTCTGGAGGTGGACAGTGGTGATGGTGGCACAGCAGGGTGGACGTGCTCAGTGCCCCGGTCAGGCACTGAGCCATGACGGGGATCGGGAGCTTCGTGTTATGTGTGTTCACCAAGTTGAAAAGATCCTCTTTCAGTCAGGAGGGGGTGCGGGGGCCTCGACCCCTCATGGACCTCGGAGCACAGGACTCTTAGCTGGTGAAGTGGAGGGTCTGAAGCTTGAGGAGGCGTCCCCTGCCCTTGTGGTTGAGTGAGGGTGGCCACAGGAGGAGGACTGGGCAGCTCAAGGCCCCGCCTGCCTGTCCCCAGGAGACCTTGGCCTGTGAGACCCTGAGGGGAGAGCCCACCCAGCCCACCCGGACTCTGACCTCAGAGCCGTGGGCCGCCATGTTTGTTAGAGCAGGAAGAGGAGCACATGGAAAGAGCAGAGCAGTTTAAGTGTCTGTGTGACAGTCCCAGAAAAATGACTGGGTTGTGACCTGACAGGACCAGCTTTGCAGCCCCCCCCTCCGCCCCCCCCCCGTCATCTCCAGCTGCAGTTGGCCCCGGAGGACGGGGCGTAGGTCCACACCCCAGCTGCCTCCCTGAGAGCCCGCTGAGTTCTGTCCCACTGTCGCCTGCTTGCCTTTTGAGACAGGCAGTCAGGTCCGGTCTGTGGGGACCCCAGAGTGCGGCCTCTGCCTAGGACAGCAGCGGCAGTCCCTGGGTGGTGTCCTGACCGGCGCTCTGGTCCTCCCCGCGGCCCTGCTTGCTCTCTTCTCGCCCCATTCCATTCTGCAGCGTCAGAGGACCACCCTGGGCTCCCTCTGCTCTGCACAGAGTCTGTTTATCTGGCCGGTCTTCTGTCCTTCCCCATACCCTCCACCTGAAGGACGGAGCTCATCTTCCTGAAGGGTCCTGTGGGGCCTGTGGCTGGTGCCTCCCGTCTGTGGGCAGACGAGTGGCAGGACAGGGTCGAATCAGATGGTTAGCTCTGGAGCAGATGAGGGTCATGCAAGCATCCTCTTGGACCCCGATGGCCAGCCAGAGCCTCTGCTTCAGAGGAGCGTCGAGGTACAGGTCCACCCTGGGAGAGTGTGAAGTGGCTGGGCTCCTGGGCCTGGCAGCTACAGGCTCTAAGAAGCAGAAAGAATGGTGAGGCCATTCTAGAATGTTCTAGAGGAGACTGTGAATCTGTTCCAGAACACTCTAGGGAAGACCGTGAGGTTGACATAGAATGTTCTGGAGGGGACTGTGAGGCTGTTGTAGAACATTCTAGAGCAGAACGGAGGCTGTTCTAGAACATTCTAGGAGCACTGTGAGTCTGTCCCAGAATGCTCTTTGGGGGACAAGAGGCTGTCTGAGAACACGAGGGGCTAGGCAGGATCCCAGGCAGGGAGGGACCCAGATGACCAGAGTGGGGCAAGCAGGTGGGGTGACTGGAGCTGACAGGCAGGGGTGGCCAAGCACACGGGAGCAGGAGGACTTGTGGCTTCTGGGCCTGGGGAGTCCTGATAGAGGTCCTGGCCTGGGGCTGTGCCTGGGGGCCCTGGCAGCGCGCACCTCTCTGTGCCAGTGTCTCTGCGTAGCAGGTGCCAGGCCAGGTCTTGGCAGGGACTGGAGGTGGGTAGTGTGGAGTGTATACTGGTCTAGCCCCGCCCAGTGGAGCTGACCGTCCAAGTGCTTCCTCTGGAGACCCAGACATGGCCCTTGGTCCAGGGGACCCGCCCACCCAGACAGACACAGACACCTTTGGGCCTCCTTCAGGGCTGTAGGGCCCTGGAGGGCATCCAGTGCACACGGGGCCTACCGTGGAGGCAGGGTGTATTTGCCTCTGCGGTCCAAGCCACGGCCGGAGCGGACGGCAAAGCAGAGGAAGGAGCTCAGCAGCATGGCGTAGACCTGATGGAGCAACCAGATGTCCCCGAGTCGGCAGGGACACAGCACCGGGGTGGGGAGCCCCGAGGGGTCTGGATTTCGCAGCACTGGGAGGGGCCCAGGTGTCTTAGGAAAGGAGCAAGGCAGACCCTGAACCCCCCAAGGCCACCTCCTGGATCCGTGGCTGGTCCTCCCTGAGGACCCTGGCGTGGCCCAGGGCCGGGTGTCCTGGCCGAGGCTGTCAGCTGGAGGCTGCCTCATCCTGCCTTCTGTGGCCCCTGGACCAAGGGCCATGTCTGGGTCTCCACAGGGCGAGGGGAGGGATTGGGAAGGGGCATCGAGCGAGGGCGGGTACCATGAGGGCCAGGCCGGTGCTGGTCAGCATGGAGGCAATGTTCTGCGGTGTCTTCAGGAAGCTCCGGACGCTCTGCAGACAGTCCTAGGCAGGGTGCAGCGTACATGGTGCCCACCCTGGCAGGACCTCCCTGCCCGGCGTGACCAGCCTCTGAGGAGCCACGGAGACGCAGGACCCTACCCAGCCAAAGTCAGGTTGTGGGAACTTGGGGTGCAACACCTTCCTGGGGAGAATCACCCCGAGCTCTGGATGAGGAGCAAGGGCAGGTGAAACCACGGAGCACGGGGCTGGCCAAGCTGCCCTGGGCTCCTGTACTGGCCATGTGTCCAGCTCCTGCAGGTGGCCAAAGGCAGCACAGCACCTCAGTGTCTAGAGCTCACAGGGAGCACAGAGGAGCAGCCCGGGGAGGGGTGAGGGGCTTCCCTCGCTGCCCCTGAGCTGTCCGCCCCAGAAGAGAGGCGGTGTCATGGCATGGTGGCATCTGCCCGCGCTGGTCTCATGCTGCCTGGGTGACCCCTGAATCTCTGCCTGCCCCAGATGTGCTGGCCAAGAACTGTGGGCTCTAAGGCAGCTGCCAAAGTGGCCTCTGGCTTCCCGACGTTAAAGGACACGGGCCCGTCCCACTCAGTAACCCGCTCACGCCTTCACCGGGACCCCGGCCCCCCGGCCCCCAGGGCCGAAGCTGAGATTCACCTCCTGCTTCTCTTTCTCCTGGACAAGAACAAAAGTCCCTTCATTCTTCGCTGGGCCCCAACTTGCCTTTGCTTCTGGGATTCCAGTTCCCAGAGGGACAAAGGACCCAGGAGCCACCCGGGTGTCGTCCCACCCTCCGTCCTCCTGGCCCACACCAGCTGGCCCCTGCTTCCCCCCGGGGGCATTTACAGCCAGGCCCCGGCCTATGTTTTGCAGTGGGTCCTGCGGACTGCCCTTGGGTGGAAGGGCTCCCTGGCTCAGTCCCTCCCAGCACACTGGCCCTGGGGGTGGGGGCGCAGTGGACGGTCCTTCTGGGCCTCAAGCCATTTCCCACCCTCCTCCGTTTCTTGGAGGGTCGCCAGGCACATCCACAGGAGATAGGGCCAGTCTATTTCCAGGACAGTGGGGCGTCGCAGCAGGGGAGAAGGGAGGCCAGGCCAAGTCCCAGTCTAGGCCAGCAGGAAGGGCCACGGCCTGGCCAGGGCGGCCCTCAGCTCAGCTGTCCTCCTGGAATGCCCTTCCTGCTGCTTCCCCCAGCCAGACCCGATACCCTCTCTGGGTTCCGGCACAGAGACCTTTTCTGTAAGCTTCTAGAAGTTTCTGAGGGTCGGTCCACCTAGCCTTAGGGAGCACCCAGCTGGGAGCTGTGTGAAGGGGTGAGTGGAGCCCGTGCCTGGTGTCCAGCTGACAGAAGGGGCCTCGGCTGAGGCCAGGGTCAAGCTGGCTGCTGTGAGCTTCTTGCACAGTAGCCACCTGCTGCCTCCCTCCCAGGGGACCCTTCCCTAGGCCCTTCCACGAAGGCTCCGAGGGTGTGGGGAAAACCAGGTCCAGGATGTCCGTGGGGCTCTGCCCGAGGCCTGCGTCCTGCTTGGCCAGGAGGCTCTGCCTACTCCTTACCTCTCTCGCTGCCTCCTCGCCCCGACACGGGTCGGCTTCCCTGCTTCCCAGAAGTTGGAAAGGGGACCTCTTTCCACAGCACAGAAACTGTAAGACAGATGCAGGGAGCTGTGGGCAGTGGTCAGGATGGTGGGGAAACGGAGGCACCCATGGACAAATGACCTAGGTGGGTCCTGCAGAACCGGCCCCTAGAGGCAGGGCTTCCTGGGTCACAGTTGCTTCTGCTGGGCACAGCCACTGGCAGCCTGGGCCTAGCCAGGGGGAGGCCTTCCCTGTAACCCTCACTGTGGGGCCACGGTGCGGTGGCAGACAGAGCGCCCACTTGTTCTAACACTCTGTCCTCGCCATCTGGAAATCCTTAACCACGCTTGAACAGGACCTGCCTTTTCACTTTGTGTCTGGCCCAAAGATTCTGTGGGCAGCCGTCCGGGGGAGAGGACTGGAGCTCTTATCCTACCTGAAAGTGGGCAGCCATGGCCTGTGTCCTGGGAACCCCCAGGGCTGGCCCAGGATGGCTGACTCGGGAGGGTGTCCAGTGCCCATTCTGTGTAGCACACTGAGGTTGACCACCTGTGGCACTGCTGGCAAGGGGAAGGCCCTGCCCCTACTCACCGTGTCCTGGATGGCAGCCAGCTTGGGCCCCTGGATGCTGGACGGGCTCCTCACGGCCTCATCATACACCAGGTCGTAGGTGTCCAGCATGGCGTCCTCCACCTGCACCAAGAGCACCACAGGAAAGCCTGGGCCCGGGGGGGCTCCCGTGAACCCTGGCTCCACCATGCAGCTCCTAGAGGCCAGGCAGGGCCCAAAGTCCCACAATTCCCTCCTCTAGGGGAAGCTCCAGAGGCTCTGGGCACCAGTCACAGGGGTCCTGGGCTTCAGTTGTGGGCCTCTTTCCCCATGATGGCCTGCCATGTGGCCTCCTGCTCCCCCAGGGGGGCCTGAGGGATAAAGCAGAGGCTATGTCCCTCAGCTGTGGCCCTGGGGAGTGTGGCCAAGGGAAGTGTCCACCTTCTGCTGTGGTCTGGGCATGTGCCATGAATGGGACCAGCAAGGAGTCTCAGGAGAGGGCTGGGGCCAGGTCTCAGCCCCCAAAGGTGCTTGTAGGTCTCTCTCCAGAGCCATGCAGAGTCCTGGGCACTGGGCTCCACATAAGGCCTCTGGGCAGGGACGCCTGGGCACCCAGGTTCCACTCCAGGAGGTCGAGGCCACTTGGGGCAGAGGCTGGTGTGGACCAGGCTGGCTGGCTTCCCTCCTCACCCAACATCCCTAGACCTCCGTGCCTCTGCTGTCCCGAGGGCGGCTTTGCTGCCTCTTCCCATGCCCTGCCCCAAATGCCCTCTTCTGGCCAAGTATTCCCCCAGAAGCCAGGTGGAGTCCCCCTATTCCAGGAAGCCATCCCTGACCGTCCCTGGTCTCCTGGCCCAGGAGGCCCCTGAGGCCTCTTCCTGTCTCGGAGGCCCTGAGTCCCTTCCACTCCATGCCATGCAGACAGCTGGGACTCACCTGGAGGGCCAGGGTGAAGGAGGACCAGTGTTGGCTCTGGCCACGTGTGCCTGCCCTACAGAAAGGAAGGGGACTATCTCACAGCCCTGTTTCTCTGGGGCCTGGTCCCCACAGCAGGCCCCATCAACAGACTGCAGGTCTGGGTGGGCCTGTGGGCAGGCGGGCACTGGAGCTCAGCTGGCCCTGCCCAAGCCCAGATCCCTTCGGTGCCAGACAGAACTTCTGAGCCAAACACCGCTCCTGGCACAGATTGATCTCTCTGCACTGATGGTTAACAAAAGTCAGACATCCTCATGAGTCATCCCAAACACGGCTCCGTCCTCCCCCACCCCCAGGGCGCGGGTGCCAAGTGGCCTCAGTCACTGCGAATCTGGGCCAGGGCTCTCTCTGGGCTTCAGTCTCCTGGCGTGTGCACGGGAGCTGGGCCCTGCTGGGCCACTGTGTCCTCGTGGGAGGAGGACCTGGGGAGGGTGAGGGGCCTTTGGAGCTGACCTGGGGGGCCAGGTCCTCCTTCCGAACTGCAATGACTTTATCTCCCCTGCCAGCCCATCATGGCCTAGAGAGGACCCCATGCTCCTAGGACCAGCTCTCCCTGTTCCTGCAGGGCAGTAAATAATGCCTCTGTGGGCCGAGGAGGGACTTACTTGGCCTGGCAGGTGTCTCTCTGACCAAGGGAGGGTGCCCTGGGGCAGGGTCCCCTGCCCCAGACCCCACCACCTGGCTCTAGGGGCCCTGGAAGGCCAGGCTGGACCCTCTCTGCAGGGCTGGTTCAGTTATGGGGTTCAGGGGACTCTGTACGGCCCAGGCCCATGTTACTCAGGGGAAAACCAGGGGTGGATGCTGGGGCTCTGAGCCTCATCTGCAGCTGTCCAGGGAGCAGCCGTGCTGGCCAGGGGACTGAGCTACGGCACTCACGTCCATCAGATCTTGCACTTCATGGTGCTGCGGACTGAGGGTTAGGGTTTGGGACGGACCCGGGGGCTCACCCCCAACACAGGGTCTTCTCGGATACCTGCCAGGGTATCCTGCCCCCTCAATGGTCCAGGGTGGCACCAATAGGTCCTGGGGCCAGGTAGGAGATCCCATGAGGAGCTGCAGAGGGTCTGTGAATCTTCCCTGAAGGCTAAGCTCAGAGCATTCAGGGAGGGGACTTGCCCACCCTGAGGATGCGCCTCCTACTACCGGGCTCAGTCTCTGCATGGGCAATCCATCTTCCCCACAGACTTCTGGGGACAGCAGGAGGTTGCTGAGCAGTGGCCATGAGGCCACAGCAGTGACCAGCAGCCTCTTCGCCCCACGGCCTGGTCTGCATCGCTGCCCTCCACAGCCTCCAGTTGCCTGCTGGTGCCTGGGAAGTGACATCTGGGGACCCCCTGAGTGGGGGCTCCTTGGAGTGGGGCATAGAAAGGGCACCCCACTCTCAGCCCTGGCCGGGCCTGGGCTTTCCTCCTGTCCTCGGGCCTGCCAGCTGCAGTGGCCCTGGTAGCCATCTTGAGCCGCTACTTGCTTCAGCACATCTTAGGGGGCCCTCTGGGGAGGTGCAGGGGGACGGGGTGACTGGCCTGGCTGGACCCTGGAGCCCACCTCAGCCTGAGCAGTGTAGACAGCTCTGTCTTCTGGCCTTCCTCACCCACTAGGCCTCTGTCAGGACCTGACCAACACGTCCCAGCTGGCCTCTGTCTGGTGGGCCCTGCGAGGACCCCTCTCTCTTGAACTGTTAGTCCTAGGCTCAGAGCCCCAGCCAGCCCAGGGTACTTGGCAGCTGTCTTGACCAGGTCACCCAAGCTGTGACCCAGACCTCCAGCTGGCCAGATCGCTCCTTCCTCAGTGGACAGGAAACGTGATGCCCAAATGCTGGCCTGGTCCTCCTCTCCTCCAGCTGTGCTGCTGGGTCCTCCTGCCCAGAACCCCAGCTGTCAGGGGCTCTGCCCCCTCCAGATCCTTCTGGGCCAGAGGAAGTGGATTTCCCTCTCTCTGGTCTCAGGGGTGGGCACTTTGGTGAGAACTTTGGGAAGAGAGAAGACGCCTCAACTCTGGGCAAAGAGCCCTCCATCTGAGCATGCCCAGGTGGCCCCAGAGGGCAGGCCCTCCATCTGCAAAGCTGTGACTGGCCACTCAGAGGCCTCCAGAGGATCTTCTGCTGCAGCCATGGCTGCGAGCCTAGTATCTTGCATGTCTACTGGGGATTGTGTGTCAGATAACTGAACCCTTGAGGACCCCAGGAGTCACCTCCGTAGCACCTGGGCTTTCTTGCCCTGTGTGGAGCTAGGCGCCAGCCCCAGGCTCCAGGCCTGCCCCCGGGGCCTGCCTGCTCTGGGCTCTCCAGGGCCCGCTGGGGCCTGAGTTCTGCTGCCAGCCTCTGCCCGATGCTGGGGCACAAGGGGCCTTCCCTCCTCTCCAACCTACAGATTTTCAGCCAGGATACCCTTGGACCCTACCGCTGGGCCACCGGGCAGGTCAGTGTCCGGAACAGGACAGCAGCCGTGCTGCCCACGAGGCCAGGACTTGCCCACCACTGTCCTCCAGCCCCTCCTACACGCCGTCATCCCTGCCTCCTCTTTGTGCATTTTCTGGGCAAGCCCTCTACCAGGCGGCCACATCCCCAGCCCATTCTGTGCATTTCCTGGAATGTAGCACCCCTCCAGTCCGTCTCTCAGACCCACCTCCCCCAGTTGCATCTTCCAAGGCCTGGGGTGTCTGCAGAGGGACAAGGGAGGGGCAGTGCTCTCCCCTCCTCCCCTAGCCCAGGAGAGACCACCCTGACTCTGCACAGAGGCAGCAACAGTCAGCCAGTGGGCCCCTCCCCCACCACACACTGGGCACGCTCCCAGCCCTCAGCTGCAGGTGGGACGGCAGGCACTCACCTGGGTGGGGTTGTGGAACCTCCAGAAGGCCACCTGCACCAGGCTGCAGAACACCAGGGCGAAGCACAGGAAGCCCTGGGAACAAAGGGGCCTGGTCACTGTGTGCAGGCGTGTGGCCTGGGTGGGCTGGCAGCTGGTGTGCAGAGAGGCTGCTCCCTAGACGGAGGTGAGCGGTTTGGTTTTGTGGTCCTGGGACGTGAAACCAGGGGCTCTACCACTGAACTGCATCCTCAGCCAGCTTTATTTTACATTTTGAGATAGGGCCTCGCTAAGTCGTTGAGACTGGCCTTGGACATGTGATCCTCCTGCCTCAGCCTCCCAAGTCTCCAAGATTACAGGTGTGTGCCCCCAGAACCAGTTTGAGGTATGGGTTTGAGCCCCAATCCTCCTTGCCTAAAGGGGAGACTTAGGACAACGGGAAGACTCGCTGGTGGGTCCCTTTCCCGTCACTTCTTCTGGACCTGTTTTGGAAATCCCCCCTCCCCTACTCCCTGCTGGCTCTAGAGGGCCTGTCAATCACAGTACCACACTGCCCGCCCCAGGAAGGGCAGCCCATCCCTGGGGTGACGAGACCCTGTCCACTGGAGGGCTTCAGCGAGAACATTTACCCAGGAGGGCCAGGCAGAGCCTCCTGCCCCAGGATTCCCCCAGGGAAGCGGAGCCCCTCCTCAAGGAAGAAGGTTGCTTTGCTTTGTTTTCAGAAACATGCCTGGTGAAGGAAGGGTGCAGCCAACCTCACAGCTGGGCTGGCCCCAGGACACAGTCTGCAGCCTGGGGAGCCAGTCCTCTGGGTGGAAGGAACTGGGGACAGGGAGAGGAGTCACACCTGGGGGTGCTGTGGCCACCCTCCCCTCTGGGTGAGATGCCAGCACTTCCTCCACGCCCCTGCTTGTCCGCAGGACCACAGCAGCTATCTCCCCGGGCTCTAGACGTGTGGGGCACCACCCGCTGCTCACCAGCTCCCCCCACACTGCCCTCCTTTCTTTCACGGTCCAGACTTTTGAGACCCTCCCCATTGAAGAAGCTGATGGACATTGTGGACCTCTCCCCTGAAAACTGCACATGAGCCCTCCCCACTTTGGGGACAGTTTCAGAGGTTCCTTTCAGACTGAGAGCCCTGGGGACACTCCCCACCATAGACCCATCTGGTGACACAGGACCTGGGTCTCCACCAAGTGTCCTCCTGGCACCGTGATCCAGGCTCTATCCACAGCCGCCCCGTGTTCAGCTCTTCTCTCATCAGTCCCCTGCCACCCCGCAGCAATGCCAGTGTGTGGCTTGGCCAACATGCGCTCCCCGGGGACTCTCTGCCGCCTGGGACTGCTGTGGCAGGCTGTCGCAGCCCTGGAGTCATGGATAGGACACCTGCAGATGCAGAGGGGCCCCAGACATCTGCCAGGATGGCACGGACACAGCCTCACTGGTTCCCAATGTGGGTGCAGGCTCCGCGGGAGTGGGGAGCCCTCGTCTCCACGTGCCATGTGCCTGCTGGGGTCAGCCCTGACCTGGCTGACATCCTCTCCCTCCTCCGTCTTCTGCCCCATCCTTTCTCCTCCTCTCCTGCTCTTTTTCTTCATCCTCTTCTCCCTCCTTCTCTTTGCTTCTCCTTCCTGTTCTCCCTGGCCCTCTTCTTCATCCTCCTCTTCACCCTCCTCCTCCTCCTCCTCCCCTCGCTGGGGCCTGGCTGAGAGCTGTCCTCCCCATCTGGAAGCCATCGCTCAACACTGTCTCCCAGCCTCGAGGCCACGAGCCAGCTCAGAGACCAGCATTTTCCAGAAAACATTCCATTCTCAGGAGAAAGAGCACCCACGGCCCGCCCCTCGCTGCTCTCTCTCTGCGGAGAGGGTCTTGGGCAGTGGATGGACCTCCCGAGGCGTCCACACTGCAGAGGATGCTGGGCAGGCCAGGCGTCCGCTCGAAATGAAAACAAACTCGTAAACAACTTGAATCGCTTCCTCTGGGCTGAGGGGCGGCTGAGCTTCTGGCTTACGGTACTCCTTCATTTCCTGTGCAAAGGCTGAAGGGGGTGGGCAGGAAGGGGCAGGGAGGGGCAGCCAGGCACCACACGGGGGAAAAAATCTTCCACTTGCTGTCCCCTCCCCGCCTCATCACATGCGCTTTCAGACATGACAGGTGGAGTGCGCACACAGCCAGGCCTGCATGGTGGCCGGGGCAGGTGAGGGCAAGCCACAGGCCCACAGCCCAGTGGAGCAGCTGTCTTGGTGGGTCTCCAGCGTCCCTGTGGACACTGGAGCCTTCGGGGCTCACTGTCCGCGCTGGGGCCCAGGGTGCAGGGGTTCAGGAGTGTGTGTGGGAGCCCCCACTGGGCCTGGAGTGGCGTGGACCCCAGCCCTGCACAAGTATGCAGCTGGGGGTCCCAGCTGTGCCTGCGAGGCTGACCCACATAAGGCCTGTCAGGCCCTGAGTCTGGCTGCAGCTGCTCTGCTCCCCTGGGGACCACCCTGAGTGGGAGTCCCTCCAGGAGTGACTGTCCCTGTGCTAGGAGACGTTTGCAGACCCGGGGTCCTCATCAGGCATGCACTGAACCCAGGGCTAGGCTGAGACCCGCTGGCCCTGCAGACAGGAGGCTCTGTTCTCAGGGAGCCCAGTGAGGCAGAGTTGAGACCCTGGCAATCCTGGGCCTCCTTGGCCACAGATCAGCTGGGGAACCCGGGAAGTCCGCGGTAGGACCAGGCAGCCCAGGCCAATGAGGGTACAGGGACTGGAGCCTGTGGCCACCTGCTGCCCTCTGCCGCCCGTCTGTGGCCTCAAGCGAAGCTCACAGTGCCCCCTGGTGTCTGACATGCAGCCCTGGTGCCAGGCCTCTCTGGGCAGCCCTCGTGGTCTCTCTGGGCTGCCAGACTTGTCGTCCCTCTGGGGCATCCCCCGGCAAACACACACCCTCATGGAGCACAGTCCACCAGCCATGTCACCCCCTCACTAGGGCCTCCCTCTCAGTCCCCAAGCCAGGCTGCACAGACCTGGTTTTAGTGCCCACTCGAGGCCGGTGCTGTTCCTGCCCTACTTCTGTGTCCCCAGAGTGGGAATCCTGGTGGGGTTGGAGCTGCTCAGCCGCCCCCAGCTGTCCCTGTGCTAGGAGACGTTTGCAGACCTGGGGTCCTCATCAGGCATGCACTGAACCCAGGGCTAGGCTGAGACCCGCTGGCCCTGCAGACAGGAGGCTCTGTTCTCAGGGAGCCCAGTGAGGTCCCAGCACAGGCCACCCACCGGCCACTCATAGGCAGGGCGAGGTGAGGCCTGCCTTCGGGGGCAGGGGTCTCCACATGCAGAGGGTGGAGGTGGGAAAGGGGTGACCTCAGGGCTGGAATGCAGTGACCCGTGAAAGGCAGAGCACCAGAGAGGAGCTTCCCCCGCTCAGGTGAGCAGGGAAGGAAAGGTGGCCATGGGGGGGGTCACGGGCAGGTGTTCTGGGATGGCCAATAAGGACTGTTGGGGACCAAGATGGGGCCCACAGGGAGAAACAGATTTGGGAGCAAAAGGGGCCACTTCTACCAGGTTGAGGTCCAGGCCTGTGAGACCCGGTGGCCAGGGAGACCCCTCGGGTAGCTGGGAGGGAGGGAAGAAGAGAGCTTGGCAAAGGTTCTGCCTGGCCCGGCCTAGTCTCCTCCTAAGAGGAAATGGAACTCCCCCAAATCCCGACCCCAGAGTCCTCTGGGTCCCAGAACCAGGTCCTTAGGGGATGGCTCCAGGGGGATGGCTCCAGGGCTGGCCCAACCTTTCAGGCTCTGCTGCTTGGTGTGAGGAGGATGAGTGAAGCAGGCCCTGGGCAGTGCACTGGTCAGCTAGCACCAGTTTCCACTTGAACATTTCAGGGTGCTCCCTGGGCTGACGACCTCCCCAGTCCTGGCCCTGTCTGGGGGCTGGGGAATCCAAGGTCACCGAGAACTCACCATGGCCAGGAGGCCTGGGGCCTCTCTCATGGTGGCTGCAGCACTCAGGGTAGCTCCCAGGCCCAGCAGGCCCGCCAGGCTGATCCCCATGGAGAAGACTGGGTGGGAAGAGAGGGGAGGGTTGGGTGGCCTGGGATGGGGCCTGAGGCACAGAGCCTGGGCCTGCCTCCAAGTCGGGGCTCATGGGGGTGGGGCTGGACCTCTGGGGAGGCCACACTTCCCCTCAGACAGGGATGTGCCTCCCACTGCCCAGTGACCTCCTTCCTCCCAAGGCAAGGGGGACGAGGGAGCAAGCGGGGCCTGGGGAGGGCACTGCTCCTCTCCTCTCCCGGCTTCAGGGGCTATCTTCAAGCTGCCACCGCGCCCCAGTGACAGGTGTCCCTGTGAGGCTGTGGCCTTATCAGCCCAGACCCAGGCCCCAGGCTTCCTGCTCCAGGGTGGCTCCGGCCGAGGGAGCAGGAGACCTGGACCTGCAGGCACACACTCATGGCCTGTGTCCCCCACCCTCGCCCGCTGGGCAGCCGCCCTCCTGAGCCCCTGGTGCTTCTGCTGGGACATGCCCTCCCTGAAGCAGGCGCCTTGCTCTGGTGGAAGGGGGCCACCCCAGCAGGCGCTGGCCCTTCCTCAGTGTCCTCTGCCCTCTGAACACTGATATTTCACTGCTGCATCCCACAAGACCCTCCAAGTCCAGCTCCAGGCAGCCCCTGATGTGGACTGAGCTCTGACAGCAGGGACCTCTGTCCCATCACTGCCACGTACACCACACTGTCCCCACACACCTGTGGGGTGGGAGATGAGGGCAGGAATCCCAGCCATTGTCCAGGACACCAGGGGTGCTCCTTCCAGCCCCTGACCCCTGGTTCCTGCCCAAAGCCAGCTCCTCTGGACGGGCTGGGGCTGGGGAGCTGGACCCTCGTCCCCAGAGCTCTTCACCAGCAGCCTGCTTCCCCCTGTGCCCTGTGGTGGCTCTGACCTCACTCACCCCAGCGGTGCACGGCCTCCAACGGGTTACTGTCCACGGATGCACGGCTGACCACAGCAAAGCGGTCCTCGAAGTGAAGGAGAGCCATCGCGGTGGCCATAGAGAGGCTCAGCAGCTGGGGATGGGCAGGCTCAGAGCATGGGGCAGCAACAGCTGTCCCAGGGGTGGGGAGCTTGAGGCCCTACAGGGCAGGGTCTAACCCCAGACCCTCTGGATTCTGGCCTCACAGGAGATGTCTGAACTTGAGGACCGTGGGGCGTCTCTGGGGTGGTCTCAGAAGCCTCCACCCAGACACTGTCACACACGCGTGGACACACACACTCATCGCACGGTTTCCCCAGGACCCAGAACCTTGGGTCCATCAGTCTGCAGAGCCCTGACCCCTCCCCAGCCCAGGAAGACCCCCTCCCCTCAGAGCAGGAGGAGGCCTGAGAGCCCTGGAGCCCAGGTAGCCAGTGCCCCTTCCCTGGCGTAGCCCGTCCACCCCAGGCCCAGGCCACCCAGGGCCTGGGTCCAACCCAGGCTCATCTAGGCCCTGCACTGTCCCTCAGGAGGATGGACACTGTCCATAGGGCCCTCCTATCCAGATGTCAGGAGTGCCCACCAGGGTTCCAGCGCAAGTGTGCCGGGGCAGACTCGGGCGGCAGGGCTGGCGGGTGTAAGTGTGCGTGTGCGCGTGTAGGCCTGGGCCACCCTGCCACCCCCACCCTCCTGCCTACCCTGCCTGTTACCAAGACAAGGAAGCAGGTGACCAGCATCTGGCACTTGGCGACCCTGACTCGCCTCCCGGGCCCCATGGCGGTCGCCCCTCTCCTCGGCTCCTCTGCGTGGTTTCCTGCCAGGCAGGGCCTTGCACCACAGCTGCCCGCCCAGGACGTAGGTGCATCCGCCCGTCTGTCAACACACCCGAAAGCTGGGCGGCTGGGTGCCCTGGGTGAAGGACAGGCAGGAAGTGCAGGGCCCCCACCCCTGCTCCCCAGGCCTGGCCCAGACTCTGCATCTGCTGATAGCGAGGCCTCCCGGGCGGGCGTGGCCCTGTGCCTGCTGGGGCCACCAGGCACCACGGGGAGGCTGGGAAGTCACGGGCAGCCAGAGGACCCAGCAGAGTGTGTGTGTAGGAGAGAGCTGCGCCCAGGAGACCTGCCTGGGGACAGAGGCCTGGAGGAACTGGGAGACAGGCAGGATCTAACCAAGGTCCTCAGGAAGTCCGATTTTCAGAGCCTCCAGGGCATGATGGGCGAGGCAGAAGGGCTATCTGGAGCTACCCAGGAGGACTGCACCTCACCCACACCCGCATGGGGCCCCTTTGTAAACACGAGTCAGTGACCCACACAAAATGGTGTAAACCATGAATGGGGCAGAGGGGCCCATTTTCGGCCACTCAGTGGGCCTTGGGGGCCAAAGAGACCCTCCGCGTGACGTAATGCAGTCTGTGAAACCACCCCATGGGGTGGGGCTGGCGTGAACCCCTGGGCCGCTGCTGGGTGCTCCAAGGCTGCGGTGCCCCATCCTGGATGGGTGGGTCCCCCTTCCACCTCAGGTAACGTGGGGTCTTCCTAGACATGAGGTGACCTCTGTGTGTGGGGAGGCCCAGATGGCTCTGAGCAAGGAAGTCCTCGATGTTCTGGAAGCTGGTGGAGCAGATCTGTGTTGGCAAGATGGCAGAGGGCACCGCTGCGGTCCCCTGCCCTCCCTCGGGCGCTGGAGCCCTCGTCCTTCCCTGCACACCCTCTGGAGCGCTGGTCCTCCGGAATGCCCAGCTGGGTCTGTAGGGCAGGGGCTGAGTGCCCACCAAGCCGCTCCAGGTGGAGGCCCAGGTGTGAAATGGGTCAGGGCCAAGGGGGTGGCCGACTGCTTTGTCCCCAGCAGAGCCCCACTCTCCTGCCCCCGGCCTTTATCTTTAAGGTATTGAGTGTGCACACAGGACCCCCTTTTCCCTATCCTCTTCCTTCGTCTATTAATTAATTAATTGATTTATTAAAATGGTTTTGTCATAGGATCTATCCTAAAGGGACCCAGTGTCCAAAGCTGTTGTCAAACAACAAAATAAACTGGGAAGTATTGGGATCCAGACAGAGATAAACAAAAGGTTGACTCTGTAAGTCAGGGAGGAAGAAGAGGAGAAGAATTCCAGTATGTCACGAGAGTCCTTCATTAGGAAGGTGAGGTGTGACTCTTAGAAGTCCCGGTGGCAAGAAGTCACACACACGCTGGGAAGTGGGCGGCCTTTGGAGCCTGGCTAGCAAGCACACCTGGGCAGGTGGTTGGCCTGCTCTTCCCTCTGACTTAGCGCTGCCCCTGGCCCCATAGCAGAAGCCCCAGGTTACAGTCCACTGTGATTGGCTAATTTTAAATTGGGGCGGGCAAAGGAAGGGGGTCTAATTTAAATGGCTGCAACTGGATCTCCAAATGGCTACAATTGGATTTTTTTTAAATATTTCTTTTTTAGTTGTAGATGGACACAATGACTTTATTTTATTTATTTTTACGTGATGCTGAGAATCGAACCCAGTGACTTACCCAGCTAGGGAAGCTCTCTCCCACTGAGCTACACCCCAGCACTTTTGATTTTGAGATAGACTCTCAGTAAGTTGCTGAGGCTGACCTTGAACTTGTGATCCTCCTGAGTAGCTGGTACTGCAGGTGTGTATCACTGGGCCACCCTTTCCATGCCTATAACCGTAAAATGTTTCTAAAACGTGCATTTTATCTGAAAGCCTAGATTTGCCCATCCGAGTCGGTCTTGAGAAGGGCTCTGCCCATCGGCCCCTGAGCCCTGAATTCCTGGGCCAGACTCCGGGCGGCTCCCTTAGCTCCTCCTCCCCCTCGCCCCCCCCGCCCCCCCTCGTTCTGCTCCCCGTTCCTGCACCGCTCACTCTTCCCTAGTCACTGCTTGGCGCCTCGGCTTACCTGGGCAACTGCCTCTGGGAACCCTGGCAGTTTGGGGAGACCTTGGTGCAGAAGCAGCCCCCTCCAGCTAGACCAGAAGGTGGCAGTCTCTGTCCTCCTGAGGGACCCCCCCAGCCACCTAGGAGACCTGGCAGGGGGACCCCAGCCACCTGGAGGGGAGCCCAACCTTCAGCACCTGGAGGGAGGGCTCACAGAAGCCCCCTCCACACAGCAATGAGCCCCAGGGCCCTGAGCCCTGGAGCCTGGGGCCTGTGCCTGACCTGGGCGGGGCCTCTGTAGGCCCAGCAGGGCAGGGCAGGTAACGCACAACCTGTCCCATCTAGGAAGGCCAGCCTGCCGTCGCCTGGGCACTGTGAGCTCACTCCCCTCCTGCCCACTGAGCTGACCCGTCAGGGCCATGCGGGCACCTGAGTTCAGGCTGGCCTCTCTGCCTTTGGCCCCGTCCTCAAGTGGTCCCCCATGGCTGAGACACACCCTGGGAGCTGCCCGGGGGCCTCCCTGAGCCACCTTCCTTGCCACCCTGTGTCCAGGTCAGCTGGCCCTGGGCCCTGCAGCCTGGGCTGTCCTGCCTACCCTAGCAAACCCCGCCCTGGCTTTCAGTAGCTGGGCTGCCCTCAGACCAGGCTCCTGCATTGCAAATGCCCCATGCCCTGGACATTGGAGGGCCATCCTGTCCCCCACTCTGGCCCTTCTCCAGGGAGTCAGGGAGGGAGTGGGCTCCAGTGCCATATCTACCCTGCTGGCACATGGCTGCCCCCCAGGAGAGTCCTGGGGACAGGAGGCACCTCCACCCGTATCCATGCTGTGCCACCCTGTAGTGCATGGGGCTGGCACCATGGAGCCCCACTGTCCTGCCCAGGGCCACCAGAGATGCTGAAGGAGCAGAGAAAGGGCTGGGGCACCAGCGTGTCCGGGAGGGTGTCCCTGAATGACCTCTGGGGCGGTCGCACCTCTCAGGACTCCCTCGGGGTCAGTAAGAAGGCTAGCCGAGGGCTGCGGATGGAACCCTCTACAGCCTCTTGCCTGGAAGCACTTCCAGCCCTTTTCCTGGTGGCTGGTGATGAGTCCCCAGTGACAAAGGCTATAGGTAGCTCACAGGCACCTTTAAACCCCTTCAGGAGCCAAGGGACATTGCTGTGACAGTGCTCCTTCCCACTGGGGCTGCAGACCCCTTGCAGGAGGCTCAGGGCCTCTGTGTCATGGGGCAGGTACAGGGGTGCTGGGACAGGGGCAGGGTTGGGAGCGTCTTAGGTGGGGCGGGGACAGGGCCAGAGGGCTTCAGAAAGGGAGGCTGGTGTCGGCATCTGCAGTGTCCCCATGTTCCTAAGTGGGCACCCACCCAGTGTGGGTACCAGGAGTGGGCACTCTGACCCCCAGGTGGGGGCCAGGGGTGGCCTTGGGAGTGGCCAGGTGAGCCCTTGTGATGGACAAGAGGCTCCTTCGAGGAGGAAGCAGCCCACCTCTCAGCCGGTGAGGGCACGGGGAGGGGCGGCCTTCCCCCACCAGGAAGGGAGCCCTCCCCAGGGTGGAGCGGCTGCAGCCCTGGCCAGAGGCCCCAGGGACCCAGAAGCTGACGCTGCGGTTTCAGCTTCGCCCGCTCCCAGCACCCTCGTCGCCACTCACCTCCTTGTCCACTCAGCTCCTGCTCATTGAGTGCCCTGGAGAAGCTGTGTCCATCTGACGTGGCCTCCCAGCAGCCTGGGCCTCTTCAGAGGCAGCAGGGACTGCAGGGGAGGGGACCAAGTCCCTAAGGTCCGGGGGGCCCAACCACATGGCCCTGGCTGCAGAGGCCACCCATGACCAGTTTGGGCAGCTGCAGGGAGCTTTCCTGCCCCTCATGGGTCTTCCCACAAGGTCCCTCTCTGGGTGCCCAGGGAGGGTGGGGCACAGCAGGGTTTGCCTGGCAAAGGGTAGGGTGAGGGTGGCCCCATCCCAGCTGAGGACCCGCACATACAGGGACTGGCAGTGAGGTCAGCCAGGGCCACCCTTCACTTGGGTTGCCCTGAAGTGAGGTTCTGGTATTTCCAACAGCAGCATCAGGACTACGGCGGAGGGAGGAGGAGCCAGTCAGGGTGGGCATCTTGTTGGGGAGAATGTGGTCTTCAAGGAGTGCAGGACATCGGAATCAGGGGACAGCAGGAGCCCCTGGGCCTGTGCTGAAATGGCATCTGTGATGGGCAGGGGTCAGAGAGTCTGGCCCATGGACACCTGTGCCTTGGCCTGTTGGTCACCATGTCCCTAGAATGGAAGCCAGGGAGCTCAGGTGCAGCTGGACTGGAGTCTCGCCTGGAGCCACGCCCTCCCCCATTCAGGGTCCGGCTGGAGATGGCCATGAACAAGGAAGGCCTGGGTCTTCTGGGAAGGACCCTGCTCAGCCACCATGATTTACTGCCATCTTTCTTCCAGCTTCCCAAAGGGACCTGCAGCCACTCTCCAGGGTGACTGTGCCTTGGGCAGGGGAAACTCAAACTCTGGAGGGTTGCTGGACGCTGGCTCTGGACGGACCAATTCTGGGAGACGAGAGCACCTCTGGGTCTCTGTGCTGGCCCCATGTACTGGGGACCACCCAGCACCAGGCTTCTCAGTGGGTCTCTCTCACTGAGCAGCAAGAATCTGAGATGCTCCCAGCTGGGCACAGAGGAGCAGGCCTATAGTCCCAGCAGCTCAGGAGGCTGAAGCCGGAGTTCAAAGTCAGCCTCAGCAACTTAGCGAGGTCCTAAGCAACTCAGTGAGACTCTGTCTCTAAATTAAAAAAAAAAAAGGGATGCATCATGGTCCTCTTGTGGCTTGATGGCTTGTATTT